CACATATTTTAGGTACACTAACAGTTGCTTTTGTTTTTGAGGGGGTAAATGGCACGCAAAAGCGGTCACTATTTTGTGCAAAGGCTGTTTGCTGCACTGAAAAATAAATTGAAAAAAATATGTATATATCATTTAATTATGTAAGTCTAATGTCACTTATTTTATTTATTTTTTTATTTTTTTAATGACTTGGCCCCCTAGTGGGCTGTATGTTCAGCTTTGTAAATAAATAAATTGCAACACAGTAGGATCCCCTTAATATTTCTCCCCTTTGTGTTGTTTGCTCTGTAGTCTGTACTGAAGGGCCACACTGACTACATCCACTGCCTGTGCTTTAAAGAAAGGGAAGAGGAGATCCTCTCTGGTGGGGAGGATGGTGCCGTGAGGATATGGGGTCAGTGAATGACACTGCACTGTTTCTATTTCCTTTACTCTTTGAGATACATTATGTAACAAAAGTATATACTTCCTCCACCAGACTCACGGACAAATCGCCCAGTTCACTGTATTGAAGTTTTCAAATACGAGGTAAAACACTCCTGTACTTATGATAAAAAATAAACAAATAAGCTAAAACCATGCATTCATGCCTCAAAGAGAAAAAATACAGCACTGAAATTCTACTCTCTCACTTTCAAACTTGCTCTGGAATGGCGAGTCAGGAATGCGCACGCCCCCAGTTTGGGAAGTGGATTAGCTGTCTTGCTACGGACTCTGATTGGATGGTAAGATGGACTTGTAGTTAGCAGGGACAGTGAAGCTATTGTCTTTATTTGTTCTTGTTTATCTCGTGTTTTCTGAATATGCATTGACATGCTTGATTTTAAATACCTCAGTTACTATCTGCATGGTTGTAATGGACTACTGCTCGTTTGGAATGCCCCTCTATGTATGTTAAGATGGAATGGCATAATGCCCCTATTGTTATAAAATGTTATCCATTTCCTCTCCAGCTCTGTGGTGGAGGCCCATCGCTCTCATTATGGCACCTCCGTTCCATGTCCCCCACCTCTGTCTTCCCTTTGCCTGGCTGTCAAAGGGAAGCTGTCTTTTACCAGGACCTGGTGAGAAGGACTAGTTGTCAATTTAATGTGACAGAAAAACAAAAAGGCACCATTTATATTGTTATATATAATTATAGTTATTTTTTATAATATATTATGTTGTGGTTGTGCTTAGATCATGTCAGTAGGTGAGGGTCCGCATGTGTCCCACTGTTTACATGGAGGGACAGTGAAAGCTCAGATTCCCTGCACTCCTTCCTCACTCAACACACTGGCTCTGAATCTCAAAAACACTGAACATCGGGTAGGTGCACCTGTTATACTCCATGCCAGATTTTTTTTGCTTTAACAGATGCTACAAATTGCAGCAATATCTATAAAATGTATCTTCATTGGCTATGTGTGTGGAAAGTGAAGACTTGTGAACAGAATAATTGTATTTACCCAATTTTTCCCCTTTACCCAATATTCATCTTTCAGGTTATGACAGTAGGGGGCAGCAGTCACCAAATTGATGTGTTCACCAACTTCAGTTACAGAGCCTTTTCTCTGTCATTTTGAGCACACGCCAACATTTGTTTGAATTTGAATTGAAATCTTTGGCAAATTCTCGAATTATGATTTGCTATAATGCAATTAAACAATGTATTTGTACAATAAACTTTTTTTGGTTATTGTTCGCTGTTTTTTCAATGTGTGTTTTTAGCTTTACATTTGAATCATGCATTGAACCCTGAAAAGGCCTTTTAAGGTGTACTTGGTCGTTTTTTGTGTAACACTATAGTAAAACACACAAATAATAGTATTACACATGTACATTTTTTTTCATGAAAATATACAAAAAGTATGTTAGATTTACAACGTTAAATAATGTTTCTAAACTGTATTATCTCAATCTGCGAAAATGGTCAAAACATCTGTTACAGAAATGCGGTATTCAGTTGGTCATGTGGTCAAAATGGCAGCCTGCAAGAGGTGACCCGCCACATGAAAAAATGCATTTTATTAGGCTGCTGATACAACTGGAATCTTAATTTCATGTATGTGCTCACCATTTTAAATATATTTATCAAAAACAAAATTAATTTCTTTACATGTAAAACTTTTTTTAAATTTACAATTAGTGAGTTCATTTTTAAACATTTGAGGACAAGAGTTCGGTAAAGTTGGCAAGATATGGATATATTACCTTCATTGTTATTGGACAAAATAGTCAATAACTTCACTGTAACACACTGTACTTTCTCCAAATTCAGCTCACACATTACTGCTCTCCTGCTGGTTATACAACAACACTTATTTTGATAATAATTGCTTTTGCATATTTTTTTATTATTTAAAATGAAAGAAAAAAGTAATTACCGTCATTGTTATTGGACAAAATAGTCAATAAACTGGTTATACTACAACACTTATTTTGAAAATAATTGCTTTTGAATGATTTTTATGATTTTTTTTTTATATTCAATAAATTCCCTGTTATTGGACAAAATATTCAATAACTTCACTGTAACACACTGTACTTTCTCCAAATTCAGTTCACACATTACTGCTCTCCTGCTGGTTATACTACAACCGTTATTTTGACAATAATTGCTTTTGAATTATTTTATTTATTTAAAATAATAATCAATAAATTCAGTTATTGGACAAAATAGTCAATAACTTAACAGTAACACACTGTACTTTCTAAAAATGTTAAAATGTCAAAGTGCAAAGGTTGTACTATAACCAGCAAAGTTACATGTGTGTGTTAAATAAAGTTGATAGTATTATAATGTATAACAGTGGCATTCATAAAACAGAGTTAATTTAACGGTGAAGACCTTATTTATTTTCAAAATAAGTGTTGTAGTATAACCAGCAGGAGAGCAGCGATGTGTGAACTGAATTTGGGGGAAATATAGTGTGTTACAGTGAAGTTATTGACTATTTTGTCCAATAAAAATAGTCAATAACTTCACTGTAACACACTGTACTTTCTCCAAATTCAGTTCACACATCGCTGCTCTCCTGCTGGTTATACTACAACACTTATTTTGATAATAATTGCTTTTGCATATTTTTTATGATTTTTTTATTATGGAAAATAGTCAATAACTTCACTGTAACACACTGTACTTTCTCCAAATTCAGTTCACACATTACTGCTCTCCTGCTGGTTATACAACAACAGTTATTTTTGAAAATAATAGCTTTTACAATTTTTTTAATAATTTTTTATTATGACAAATAGTCAATAACTTCACTGTAACACACTGTATTTTCCCCATATTCAGCTCACACATCGCTGCTCTCCTGCTGGTTATACTACAACACTTATTTTGATAATAATTGCTTTTGCATATTTTTTATGATTATTTAAAATGAAAAAAAAAAGAAATTACCGTCATTGTTATTGGACAAAATAGTCAATAACTTCACTGTAACACACTGTACTTTCTCCAAATTCAGCTCACACATCACTGCTCTCCTGCTGGTTATACTACAACACTTATTTTGATAATAATTGCTTTTGCATATTTTTTATGATTATTTAAAATGAAAAAAAAAAGAAATTACCGTCATTGTTATTGGACAAAATAGTCAATAACTTCACTGTAACACACTGTACTTTCTCCAAATTCAGCTCACACATCACTGCTCTCCTGCTGGTTATACTACAACACTTATTTTGATAATAATTGCTTTTGCATATTTTTTATGATTATTTAAAATGAAAAAAAAAAGAAATTACCGTCATTGTTATTGGACAAAATAGTCAATAACTTCACTGTAACACACTGTACTTTCTCCAAATTCAGTTCACAAATCACTGCTCTCCTGCTGGTTATACTACAACACGTATTTTGATAATAATTGCTTTTGCATATTTTTTTATAATTATTTAAAATGGGAAAAAAAGTCATTACCGTCATTGTTATTGGACAAAATATTCAATAACTTCACTGTAACACACTGTACTTTCTCCAAATTCAGCTCACACATTACTGCTCTCCTGCTGGTTATACTACAACACTTATTTTGATAATAATTTCTTTTGCATATTTTTTATGATTTTTTTATTATGAAAAAAAAGTTAATAACTTCACTGTAACATACTGTACTTTCTCCAAATTCAGTTCACACATCGCTGCTCTCCTGCTGGTTATACTACAACACTTATTTTGATAATAATTGCTTTTGCATATTTTTAATTATTTTTTTATTATGAAAAATAGTTAATAACTTCACTGTAGCACACTGTACTTTCTCCAAATTCAGTTCACACATCGCTGCTCTCCTGCTGGTTATACTACAACACTTATTTTGAAAATAAATAAGGTCTTCACCGTTAAATTAACTCTGTTTTATGAATGCCACTGTTATACATTATAATACTATCAACTTTATTTAACACACACATGTAACTTTGCTGGTTATAGTACAACCTTTGCACTTTGACATTTTAACATTTTTAGAAAGTACAGTGTGTTACTGTTAAGTTATTGACTATTTTGTCCAATAACTGAATTTATTGATTATTATTTTAAATAAATAAAATAATTCAAAAGCAATTATTGTCAAAATAACGGTTGTAGAATAACCAGCAGGAGAGCAGTAATGTGTGAACTGAATTTAGAGAAAGTACAGTGTTACAGTGAAGTTATTGACTATTTTTCATAATAAAAAATCATAAAAAATTGTAAAAGCTATTATTTTCAAACATAACTGTTGTTGTATAACCAGCAGGAGAGCAGTGATGTGTGAACTGAATTTGGAGAAAGTACAGTGTGTTACAGTGAAGTTATTGACTATTTTGTCCAATAACAATGAAGGTAATGACAATTTTTAATTTTAAATAATCATTAAAAATATACAAAAGCAATTATTTTCAAAATAAGTGTTGTAGTATAACCAGCAGGAGAGCAGTGATGTGTGAACTGAATTTGGTGACACTAGTGTGTTACAGTGAAGTTATTGAGTATTTTATTAATAACATTTTTCGCGTTTCGCACTTTGCAGACGGTCCCTTCGGACTTGTCTCTCAGAAGCCAGCGCATTGAGATCAATGTATTTTGTACAGAGCGCAGGAAAGCTTATTTTGAGGACAAGTCGCTTGTAGCTCGTTTTCTACATCACTACGAAAGAAAAGGGGCGCCAATTGAGTAGTAAAAACATTTTGCTCGTGAGTTATTGATCCGGAAAAGTCGAATTTGTGAATATCTTACCAACTTTACCGAACTGAGGATAAGTTTACGCTATTTTAGATTGAAAATAAGACTAAGTCTCAGAACATTTTGGGCTGCCTACATATACAACATTTTTTATACCGCGAATCAACGTATTATGGCCAGAAATGCTGTTTCTGTAGGCAAGCTTATCAGTTGGTCTGTTGAAACAGAATAGCGATGGCAATCTCAACAGCAACGGGAGTGGCATGAGGAGGATGAGGAGACAGAAACTCCGGCACATGATGAGGATGAGAGTGACTCAACATTCAGGTGCGTCGCCCTCGGATGGGCGGACCTGATCTCTGCGGCCGCTGGGACACTGTCCGAACTTCCCCTAACACTGAATTCCCAGATCCCGGTACTGCCTGCAGGACTAACCGGACACTGACCTACCACCCTAGCAGGAACTTGCGATAAGTCTTCAGTAATTTTCCCCAGCGTGCTCGGAATATGTGGTTTAAAGTGTTTTCGGTGAGCTCTTCTTTAGATCCGAGTTAGATCTTATTATCTTAGAGCATCTGCGGCTAGTTAAGTAGCTAGCGTAGCTGCATTTCAAAACAACTGAATAAATTACAATGGAGGAGTTGTCGAGTTGAGTAATGGATACAAGTTTGATCAAGCGGTTCAGACTGAACTTAAGAAGCAGATCAAGGCGAGAGTACAACTTGAGGTTTGGAAGGACTGCATGTTTTTACAGGTGTGTCCGTTAAATCGCTCCACATGTCAGATTCTATGGATACTGCGCGTGACCGTTTGATGTTCATATTATAAAGACCCAAGGTCGCTTATCTCAGAAGGACCGTCTGTTTATGATAATCTTATACAATAAAGTGGTTCTGGCTCTACGAACGATTCTCCTTTATTGTTATTTTCCCTTGAATTGACTGTTAAATCGAGTTGTACCACACAGTTAGAGCGCCAAATAGTTTCGCTTTTAAGTTGGGCATGTTTGTATTCAGGACTTTAGCTGTGTTGGCACCGAAAAAGATTTTCTCTTGCCTGATTAGCGGACCTCAGCCTAGGTGTGTCAGTTTCACTTCTCTTACACATTTTTTTGTTAAAATGATCACATGTGTCTGAAGGACGTTAGTGTTTAACCTGCTGCCTCGTTTTAGACCAGAACTGTTGTGTTTTAATGAGAAACCTGTGCCCTCCTCGCAACGGCAGCTCAGTCAAAACACGCCCCTTCCTGTTTTCATGGAACATTTTTGGCAGTTTACTGAATCTCCAGCTTTGTCTTGATTCAGCAGATAGTTGCCTGTGGGCTTGTAATGATTCTGTTCACTGTTTTGGTTTCAGTTGTAAGGTGCAAGATGTGTGTGGCCATTTATTCTGATCTCTACATAAACTCAAGCAGTAAAGCTGGTGCATGTGGTTTCGACCTGTGTCAGAAAGGGTGTCATTTGTCTGTCAGAGTGGGAGAAGCTAAATTTAGTGCCACAGCTGCTGTTCTGGGTAAAGGGGGGATATATGTCTAAGTTTGAACAAGATGCATAATACCTGTCGCTTCCTTTTTTTTTTCAGGATTAGGGGACCGACAGGGACTTTTCTCACTTCCAGCTTGAAGCTGCATTTCTACAGTGTTTTGGAGTAGCAGTGATCTTTCAAAGTGTGGGAAGCTACCAGTCCCTGCATGCATCGGTTAAACAGGCGAAATGGAATTGTTGTGACTGAGATGCCATCTATATATCTAGGAAATCAAGATTTGGAGACGAAACAACTTGGATCTCAAACAAATTGCCCTGTTTTCCGGATAACTTGGTTCCTCTGCTCTGCATTATGAGCATCGTCAGTAGTTAAATAACCGTTCACTTTGTAATCATTTGATACTTAACCACAACAATGTGGTAATGTGTTTGCACTTGAGGCCGAGGCGACGAAGAGTAAATTCTACGTAGATTTTAACTGTAGATCTCTAATGGGGACAAAAGCAATGGAAATATCACTGGAAATTTAAAGTGTTTAAGATGAGCTAAGAATATTGCACTGAGAGTGCAAACGTGTTACAGACAATGCAAAATCACTGATTCATGAATTGGAATGCACTGAAATCGAACTGATGCATCATTTTGTGCTTGAATTTTGAGGAAAACTGGAAAGACGATCACATGATGCTCACAGTATTTCACACAAAACCCTCCGCACTAAACGACCAGTTACTTTAAGACACAGGAAAATTGACAGAGGACTTGAAAGCTGTTAAACTTGTTTCATGAGGACACATTTTGAACAGAGGAATGGCGGGAAAAGACTACCATCATCTCTTCAAGTTGCTCATCATTGGTGACTCGAGTCAGTATTTTTCTGTTTTTAATACATATGCTAACAAATTATGTCTTCTTACTGATTCAGCTTTGTAGCTTTTTTTTTTTTTTTTACTTTCATGAGGACACATTTTGAACAGAGGAATGGCGGGAAAAGACTACCATCATCTCTTCAAGTTGCTCATCATTGGTGACTCGAGTCAGTATTTTTCTGTTTTTAATACATATGCTAACAAATTATGTCTTCTTACTGATTCAGCTATGTAGCTTTTTTTTTTTTTTTTTTACTTAAGTCCCCATAAGAGAATCATTAATATATGGCATAAAATAAGGGATTAAGCCTAATTATTTCTCTAGCACCCTGTCCAATAAGAATTCTCAAGATGTTGGTGAATTTACTGAAACGTTGTGCAGTTTCACAATTTAACCGCAAACTGGAAAGCTGAAATGAAACTACTTTGTGTAAGTGTGTAATGTGAGTCACTTGATCAGTTCACCAGTATGCACTTGGGTGGGATGCGTACCGTGATGAATGTTGGGTCAATGTTTTTGTCTGTGAAACTAGTTTTTCCTAGAATGATTGGAGAATTTTGTAATTTCACTGGAAGATCCAGTTATGACGTTTTGATTAAACACCAAAAGTCAAAAACAGAAAAAAATCAAACGCATAAATGGATGAATTGTTCATAGTAAGATCAATAACATGCATTTTAAAAATCAAATAGGGTGAATTTCCAATTTCATGCCTTCTTTAACAATCTTATTTATACATCCCAATTTCATATTATAGAACCCTTTGTTTGTAAGCAAATATCAGTGATGCTATCTCACAGTTCATCATGTTTGTAATTTAACTGTGGTATTAAGTTAACCACAGCTGCCTCATTTAGTCCATTGTGGCCACTCTATAACTGTTCAGCTAGTGGCATTTGTGTCTGTAAAGACTGTGGGCTTTGGGTAGGATTCTGGTTGTTTTTGAACCTTAGACCTCTGAGTATTGTGGCATTTGTGACAAAAGAACATGTTAAGATTAAGTTGCATGGTATAGATGGACTATATGAGATATTTCCTAGAGCTATTATATTACGTACACTATGCTGTTGCACTTATTTTTTATTTATTGTAGGGATGTTTTTACATTTTATTTAAAGTTCACATTCTATTTTTATGTATTCAAGGTTAACTGTTAATATAAATAATATCTAATTATTATTATAATCTTGTTTTATAAAAGAAATACTATCATGTTTAATTAATAAAAACATATATGTACTGAACATTAAACAAATGCTGTTCTGACTCTGTTGCAGATGTTGGGAAAAGCAGCTTGCTCCTACGATTCGCAGACAACTCATTTTCTGGTGAGACAAAGTGTGTGTTTGTTTGTGTGAGAAAGACTAAGGCAAAGGGTCTGTAAATATATGCTCTAATTCACTGTGTTCTCCAGTCCAAGACAGACAAGCAAGACAAAATGAGAGTGTTCGTTTGCTTAAAAGTGTTAAAGAAGTTCAAATGTTATAACTAGTTATAAAAACATGCTTCTGCACTCTTCACAGGCAGTTACATAACTACTATTGGAGTTGACTTCAAGATCCGCACAGTAGAGATTGATGGAGAAAGAGTTAAACTCCAGATCTGGGACACTGCAGGGCAGGAAAGGTTCAGAACCATCACCTCTACGTATGCTTCGCTCCAGTCTAACTGTTTATTAAAGATTTTGTTTGACCGTTCTTGTGATCTCTGTCAGTCTTCCCCTCACATGTTTGCTGTAATTCTCTAGGTATTACAGAAACACTCATGGTGTCATCATTGTTTACGATGTCACAAATCCTGAATCATTTGTCAACGTGAAAAGATGGTTAAACGAGATATCACAGAACTGTGACAACGTCTGCAAAATTTTAGGTTAGTTTGTTTTTTGTTGTTGTTTCTTTTACATTTTATTTCAGTTGCATTGTGATATGAAAAGAGATGTTTTGGTTGTATATCCTGAGTTTGTTGTAGTATCAAAGGTGAACATTTAATATTCCTTTCCACTTTGATCCCTGACAGTCGGAAACAAGAATGATGATCCTTCTAAAAAGCTTATGGACACTCAAGATGCTCTGCGGTTTGGAGAGTCAGTTGGTGTGAGGTTGTTTGAGACAAGTGCTAAAGAGAATATCAATGTAGAGGAGGTGAGGTGTTTTTATTTTTTGCTGGGGTATGTATTCAGAGACTTTGCAATTTAATGCATGCATCGGTTAAACAGGCAAAATGGAATTGTTGTGACTGAGATGCCATCTATATATCGAGGAAATCAAGATTTGGAGACAAAACAACTTGGATCTCAAACCAATTTTTTTTAGTTAATTTAAACTCAAATTCAAATTCACTCAAAATCCTCATTAAGTTTCTTCTTTTAAGCCCAAATTCATTCAAAAATCCTCAATATTTAAGTCTATTTAAGCCCAAATTAATTTAAAATTCCTCAGTATTTAAGCTTGTTCTTTTAAACCCACATCGATTTAAAGATCCTCAATATTTAAAGGGGTCATATGATGCTTTTTTAAAGATCATTATTTGGTGTATTTGGTGTAACAGAATATGTTGACATGCTTTAATGTTCAAAAAACACATTATTTTTCAAATACTGTACATTATTGTAGGTCCTCTATGCCCCGCCTCTCTCAAACGCTTCGTTTTCTACAAAGTCCCTCCTTCCGACAAGTGCAGTCTGCTCTGATTGGCCAGCTGACCCAGTGCATTGTGATTGGCCGAACACCGCAAGCACTCGTCGGAAATGTAACACCCCTTACCATAATCGCGAGCTTCATCTTTCAAAATAAATGTAAAGACAGTAAATAATGTCAGTTTTACCATCAGTTCAAGCCCAAAAGGGGAACAGAGTCGCGTGACAGACACAATGATGAAGCTGGTATGTGTACACAAGCCACGGTTAAGACAGCTGACTCTACTGTGATGTGACCCCCTCTCTCTCTCTCTCTCTCGCTCTCTCTCTCTCTCTCTCTCTCTCTCTCTCTCTCTCTCTCTCTCGCTCTCTCTTTCTCTCTCTCTCTCTCTTGCTCGCGCGCACATACACACACACACACGATGCGCAAAACTCCGCATTTGAACAGCATGTGGGGCATGTTAGAACGAGCCGTTTTAGGGGGGCGTGGCAGAGTCTTAACTTTGATAAAGAATATCTCTTTGGTTTTGAGACTTTAGTCTTTGCAACTTCAGGGATCTTATCTATGCACAATCAGCTTGTAACACTCCAAAGAGAAAGGAAAACTTGAAATCGCATCATATGACCCCTTTAAGTTTGTTCATTTCTGCTCAAATTCATTAATAATCATAAATATTTTATTTTAATGTTGACTTGAATGGAATAATAGACTGTATCTTTCAACTTATTCAGAAAATAAATTTTGTCTGTCCACTCTGATGTGTTAAAAGTAACATGTATAATTTTATGGCTTGTATTCTGTTCTGTTTGCAGATGTTCATGGCTTTCACCCACATGGTCCTTCGGGCCAAGAAACAGAGCCAGAGTCGAGCAGAAAGAGAGAGGGAGAGAGAAAAGGACACGGTCCATATAAATTCCCACAGGGACAGAGAAAGGAGGAAGAAAGGGAAGAAATGCTGTTAGAGCAGAGGTGTTAGAACAGACGGAAAGAGGGACAAATCAAACACCTTTGCAACTTTGTTCCTTTGGGTCAAGTTTTCAGCTCAGAAATGTGACTTTTTCATGATAACACTGCGCTTAAGATAAAACCAAGAGGAATAAAAATAACTTGCTATTATGTGCCGAACTTCAGTGTTTGTTTACACAGATGTTTATCAATGTAAGTTTTTTTTTTTTTTTTTTACAAAAGGGTTATTGACTGGCATGGATTTACACTGGGATCAAAAGCCTGGTCCAGGAAAGACACTATACACAAACTGTCTTATGTGTTCCACTGTGATTTAGTGAGAGATGTTTCTTGTTGGATTAAAATGGACTTGATATATGCCATTAATGTATGCAAATAATAAATTAGCAATAAAATATGATTTTAAAAATCGCAAACGCCGCAACAGTGTTCATTTCTAACATCTTGCAGTTGTGAAAGAGGCATGTCTGTGAGTGACTACTGCTGGATTTACTTGACTGAATGCGCACTGTCCTCTTGCAATACAACTGCAAAAAAATACACGTGTTTTTCAACGAGAATTGTTCCTAAAATAGTGAAAGAACCGTTTCTTTAAATTATTTCATTTGACCGCTGAGTCATGTTTGTTTAAGACTCTAATCTTGAATCCCTGAAATTCATATCTGTTTGACAGTCAGCTCTATCTGTATGTCAGCTGACCGATGTCGTGGAATGGTGACCAGTGTTGCCAAGTCCGCGGTTTTCCCGCGGAATTGGGCTACTTTAACACTGTTGCCGCGGGTTGTTTTTCATGTCCGCGGGTTTAAGCGACCCCAATAATGTGATATTTAGACCCTAAAATGTGCATTTTACCCCACAATAAAACGTGTATTTTACGCCACCGGAATGCGATTTTGACCGGGGTTCCCGGTATGGGCTAGTTTTGAGTAGCAATTGGGCGGGTTTTGTTGTGAAAACCTGGCAACCCTGATGGTGACGTCACAGCGAACATGGCTGCCGAGAGCGAGTGAGTATTAGGCTGCTGGTAAATACTGTCAGAAACGTGTAATTATTATGAATTCCTATATAAATCAATAGTAGTTTGGTATATGAACTGAAAATATTTCATTTGTAATACTTAACGTAAATTATTTGAATTATACAGCAAAATTGGTTACGAAATGGGAGAGCTGTCATAGGTGACTATAAATAGAATAAATAATACATACTTATAACACAACTGGAAAAATAATTTTGTCCGAGGCTAACGTAAAGGAAGCCATAGTTAAGTTGCTCTGACTTAACCGGTAGTCATAGGCGTTAGATTGCCAGTATCCAAGTAAACAAATGGCCAAGGACGTTACTGCAATTGTTTTATTAAACGTGTCTTTGGCCCTTTGTGTCTGGTCATTTCATGTGCCATACTCATGTTAATGTTACATTAAACTAGTTCTACACGAAATTCAACTCGCATCTTTTTTGACACCGCAGTGTCCTGTCTGAAGTTGAAGTGCTGCAGTCCATCTACTTGGATGAGCTCAGTGTTAATCAGAGAGATGAGGGGTAAATATTTGAGCATTTATTGCCCTTTTAGTTTTTCATAAATTGCTTGAGATAATAATTCAGTATAATTAACCTGTACAAAAATAAATCTGTCAAATCTGTCTCGATTAGAGGATGGACAGTCAGTCTGGTGCTCTATCCCTCCACTGCGGAGGACTGTCTCTCTCAGTTTGTCCGTCTTACATTGACAATGGATCTGGATTGTCAGGTTTGTTGATCAAATTGCTATAATATTTGACTATGATACATACTACTTCTTTACTTGCAATTTTGTTTCACTGCTGGTCTCCTGAGAGTGTCTTATATTCACTTCCAGTACCCATATTCATCTCCTTGCATCTCTATTCACAATCCACGTGGACTCTCAGATGATAAACTGCTCAGGTGTTTGATTATTATTAGAAATTATTTTTCAAATTTAGAATGTCCTGTTTAGATTTAAACTTTTTTTCATTGTTTTCACGTGCTTCTTTTTTCTCAGTTTACTGAGGAGTTTGCAGATAGAGGCACAGTCATGTATTGGGACACCTGTACTGTACCAGCTCATAGAGGTTTGGAGTCCTTATTTAGTCAAAAAATACACTACTGCTCAGAGGTTTGCCGACAATTTGTTTGTTTTTTTTTTGTTTTTTTTTAAAGAAATTATTACTTTTATTCAGCAAGGATGCAATTTAATGTATAATGTTACAAAAGGTGTCTATTTCAAATAAATGCTGTTCTTTTGAACTTTCTATTCATCAAAGAATCTTGAAAAAAATATATATCATGGTTTCCACAAAAACATTAAGCAGCAAACCTGTTTTCAACATTGATAATAGTAAGAAATGTTTCTTGAGCAGCAAATAAGCATGTTAAAAGTAATGGCTGTTTAAAATTCAACATTGCCATCACAGGAATAAATTACATTTTAAAATATATTACATTAGAAAACTGTTATTTTAAATTAATAATATTTCACAATATTACCATTTATGATGAATGCAGCCTTGGTGAGCATTAGAAACTTTATTGAAAAACATCTTAAAATGAAATCTTACCAACCACAAACTATTGAACGGTAGTGTATATGCCTACTAACATGTGTTTGTCTCAAACCATTTCTCTATATCATCCTCACAGAGAGCCAAAGAGATCCTGACTGAGAGCAATATTCCCCATGGAAACTGCGTCATCTGTCTGTATGGCTTTAAGGTTTGGTATTTTAATTGGAATATGAACTTAGTCTGGTCTGTGGCCTGTTTGTAAAAATTGTAAATATTCTTGTGCTTGTTCCTCTTCCTCTGTTTTGTCCTAACCATAGGAGGGGGAAGTGTTTACTAAGACCAGCTGCTATCACTATTTCCATTCTCACTGTCTTGGCCGCTACATCACCCACTCTGAGATGGAGCTGAAGGACCGTGAGAGGGAGCTGGAGGAGGATAAAACCAGAGACAGGACAGAAGAAGAGGTGGGGCTTCGTCTTTTGTATACTTTCATATGTTTTCCTTACGTCAAGCAAAATGCTACTCATGTGGTATTAAATCAATTCCAGTCAACAATTTTGTGTAATACGTTGTTATTACTAAATCATTTACTTCAGTGTTACTGTGAATGCATAACTAATTGCAGTCCATAAAAAGGCAGTGAGGTGTGCTTGAATAAAAGGAAGTGGTTTTTGATATATTAGGTGTTTTTTGTTTCATTAACAGGACTTGGCTGTTGTTTGCCCCGTGTGTCGAGAGCCTCTCACCTATGATTTGGATGCCCTCCTTTCCTCTCCTGCTCCAGTTTTCACACAGGTAAGACATTCGGACACACTGTATCATTCTTTGTGGACACGGTGTTAGCAGTTGGGTCAAACTAAACTGGCCTGACGTTTATCATTGTTTGAAATGTCAAATGGACAATGTCACCCTTGTGTTCAGTGCCAAGCAGTAGATTTTTTTAAAAACACCTTTGTGTTCAGTGCCAAGCAGTAGATTTTTTTTAAAACAGTGCGTCATTGTCCTGTGTGCAGTCTCTCTTGTTAGCTGACTATGCCAGGATGTCTAGTTGGAAAGCTCAACACCCTCATGTATGTTCACTGGTCACATGCTGTGGATACACATGAACATTGTGTTTATTATTCCTTCACACACAGCAGGAGGATGCAGTCATCGGTGGGGAATTTAAAAAGAAATGGGCAGCACTCCAGAAGATTCTGGAACAGCAGAAGGAAAAGGGTGGAGTTATTGACCCAGAAGCAGAGTCTAATAGATTCCTAATTCACATTAATGAGGTAAATCCTAGATGGATATTTAAAAAGTGTATACTTTTTGAATAATTTACTAATTATTATATATAATTTTGTATATAATTTTATATATAATATAATGTTCCTGTGGCTCAGTGGTAGAGCATTGCGTTTGCAGCACTAAAAGTTGTGGGTTCGATTCCCAGGGAACACACATATTGGTAAAAAATGTATAGCCTGAATGCACTGTAAGTCGCTTTGGATGAAAGCGTCTGCTAAATGCATAAATTAAATGATTCATTAATTATTATTTAATTATTAATTTAATTAATACACACTCACATACACACACACACACACACACACACATATATATATATATATATATATATATACTGTGTATATAATGTATAGACCAATTTCAGTGTTTGTAAACAGTGATGATGTTTTTTGTGGGCGGAGCCTATCTGGTGGCAGAAAATGACAGTTTTAAATCAAATTTATGCTTTAAAAGTAGGGTAATCATAGCAGGTTTCATCCATAGTCTGTCCGTTTAAACATCTGCATTTAGCTTCAAATGGCATCTTTGACGACAGTGTTATATAAAAATGATTTGCATTCCGATTCTGACATCCATAGGCACAACAATAAATTTGTTCTCTTATTCCATGGATTTTACCCATTTCCCTCCACTTGTTCCCAGTGTTTTTCTGCCACCACTATGCGCGCGCAGCTGCAAGTGACGTAACTGTGACGTCTACTCCAAATTGGTCTATAGCCTGAATGCACTGTAAGTCGCTTTGGATAAAAGCATCTGCTAAATGCATAAATTTATTATATATATATATATATATATATATATACACCTATATAATATTTTACTTTTAAGATCTTTTAGTAATTAAAGGAGACATATTATGCCCCTTTTTACAATATGTAATATTAGTCTCTGGTGTCCCCAGAATGTGTCTGTGAAGTTTCAGCTCAAAATACTCCACAGATCATTTATTATATAATTTTGAAAATGCCTATTTTGAGTGGAAGCAGAAACACGCTGTTTTTCGAGCCTGTCTCGTTAAATGCAAATGAGCTGCTGCTCCCCGAGTCCCCGCCCCCTCTTCCAGAATAGAGCTGCGCCATTACAGCTTGTACCTGCTACAAAACATCTGTTTTGGTTCTAAT